GTGAAGACGAGCTGCTGTATTCTTAGAGCACTTGTATAATGATCTATATAAAATTATAAAGTTCATGCTAGCACCAGTTCGCATCATTATGTAGGATTGCTCTGACTGGTTGCCACACAGGCCGATTCAAACACTCACTCTAGTGTATGACAACAATGTCACTTCCCAATGCACCATGCCCGCTGGCCAACCAGTTCCTCTACGATACATCCACTCGGTTCAGTGGTAAATTGCTACTGAAGTATGCGAGCGAGAAAACCTTGTACCAGCTTGTTTGGAAGCAACTTCAATAAGAAATTCTAAGACAGCATTGCCAACGAATGCTATTGGTATTTGCTGTCATTCGAGTTACTTCTAAAGCGCATCCGCTTCTGACATTGTGCAAATAAAGAGGAAGTTTTGACTTGGACTTTGCTCTGATTACTCCCAAACTCTTCTTTTTTAGAGTGAGAAGACAGTGTTGTAATCTAGTACACTTTTTGAATTATTCAACTGAAAACCTTTGTCAGCAATTTTTCAAGCAGCGGAAGGCTGCAGCTTTAAATAAATTTTAGTTGTTAATCTGTCCCAAAATCAGTTCATAATTTCAGTTCGTTGCTCTGTAGCTCTCAAAGGCAAAATAAACCAGAATGGAAAGCATCAGGTTTACCGGTGCGATCATGCGTTTTTATGCGTTCCTGCTGTGCAGCGCTATAGCGAGCAAAAACGCATATTGTCGAGAGGTTGTTTGTGTGTGTGTGTGTGTGTGTTCCGAAGCGAGTGAACTTTGTCTCCCACTTTGATCTCAGCAACTAGGAAAGCTGGGGGGGCGGGGGAGGGCTCAAATTTTGGATATATGTTCATACTTCGTGTGTCATTCTTCCGTTTCAAAATTTTCGCTCATACGAGCCTAAGCCCCATGTACGGACTACTGAAAAAATATACAAATTTCTTTGGCGGAAAACGATTTTGCGAACCAAAGTACAAAGCTGAAATTTTGCTGGGATATTCCCTGTACATGTGTTAGCTAAAGATTTCAAATTTAGCCACTACTCACGCTTGTGCAGCGCGTTCGGTCAAGTCAAATTTTGCACCTGGAACTGTGCAAGCTCGAAAACTTGCCGGTAAACAATGGCTGAAATTTTGTCAGCACGTTTACCGCCCGTATGGGAATTCACACGCCTAAAATGAGTACCAGCTTGCACTTGCGCAGCGTCTTAGGGCACTTCAAAGATATTTGTATCGAAGTGGCTATTTCGTTTACCGGACCGCTCTAGCAACATTTCCACTTTTAGTAAACTGGAAATTTGCATTTTTTCAAAGAGTAGAAAAACGACCGGGCTTCATGCAAAAAACTGATAATTATGTACCTGGAAGTCCACGCTGTCCTATAATGCAACACCTTTATCCTAACCGACGCCCTTTCTTCTGCACGCCGGAGGTGGCCGGAGCACAGCCAATATGAGCCCAAATGTTAGGCTACAACGCATGGATCATTCCTGCTATTAGCGATCTGCGAGTTCCGTGCAAAAAACGCATGATCGCACCGGCAAGCTTGGTGCGTTTGAGTCTGGGTTACGCTAGGTTTAAAACAATTAGGCAATTAACCGTTTGAATGGTTGCTGCTTTACATTTATCTTATGCGTTCATTGACGTAAATGATGGGAGATTTTGCATAAAGGAAAATGAACAATTTCCGTTTAACGGTCATTCTTTGAAAATGGCCTAGCTGTTCAGCGAGTAATTTTTCTCACTAAAATTTTTAAGTGCTTGTACGTGAGAACCATGCATGCCTTGAGGGCTGAACTCGAAACAGTTGAGTTGTACTGGGACAGCGAGTATTCCCTCAAAATTTAAGCTTTCCAGTTTTTTTGGCTCCCGAATTAGCGAAAGTTCCATGTACCTCTGCTTGAAAATCACACCCACTCGAGGGTTGAACTTGAAATCTTCAGCTCACAAGTACACGCAGAATATCCCTGCGAAGTTTCAGTTCCTATCTTCTCTGGTTCCCAAAATCGCTTTCCCGCTAAAAAATTTGCATATTTTTTGAGGAGTCTGTGCATGGGTCTCAGGCGTACAAGAATGATAATATTGAAACGGGAAGGTCGCACATGGGGCGGGCACATGCTTTCGAAGTTACAGCTTTCTATCCGGTT